ACGAAATCGAGCGACACATCCGCCATTTTCTTCAGTGGGTTACTATCTTACAACAGACCTGGTTGAACTCCAGTGGTCACTGCTTCTCATTAGAACTCCAGGATATACCTCTTGAAGTCAGTTATGCTATAACTGTGACGGCAGATTAGAGGACAGCAAATTATCGATCGGACCAAAGACGCATAAAACACGCAAGAACGCCCTAGAGTCGTGATTGGCCCTGCTTCCCTGTCTAGCCCAGCCAGTTGAGTCCAGAACGCAAGTCTCAGCCTCTGAGATATGAATCATTATATTTCAAACATACTCTGTTTATATACCAATCAAGCAGACCATATCGTACCATAAAATAGAAACTAACATTGTACAATACTGACCAGTAGGAAAACGACACGTGAAGTAAATATTGACCAATAAGGAAATAACACCATTTCAAGTCCAAGGATAGCGTTAGACATAACAGAATAATTTTTGGAATATTTTCCTGAATATCCCAACAAGTCACTAATGAGCATGTGTTGATTAATATCAGATGGGTTTAGTGGATATTGTAGTTTTGGATGCGCACTGCTGAGGAGTCCCACAATAGGACAAAATGACCGTCCAGTGCTTCCAGAAATATTATTATTACTCAAAAAATGTTAACGATTTGTTTTTATTCATCGTCTCTTTATGATCACTTACAACTTTACCGACCCCCCCCCAACACGTCACCACTTCTCCCTTTTACTTTCAATATATGAAATGAAATACAAAACATTCTTAACTATTAGGTTAAATATATAGTTTCTTAAGATTTTTGTTGAACTATAGTTCATTAATTATGGTATGTAATAATATTTGTTATAATAATATTTCTATAGTTGAGATCATGAGTCAATTGAAGTTGGACTACCATTGGAAAACCTGGAAGCACTGGACGACCGTTTCGAACTATTGTGGAAGTCCACAACAGTGAGCATGCACTGACTCATGATTTCAACTACTGAAATTACTAGTCTACACAAAACCCCTTCTAATAATATTCCTACAGTACATATAGGCCCTTTGCAGTTGATGAGAAGCCTTGAAATACAATGAACTCATTTTATTCTGTTAATATTGTTCTTCTCTATTAAGATAGAATAATTAATTCAAGCATCGCTTGTATGGAACTGTTTGGAAGTATGGACTTACGACATCATCATTTGGTTGTGATTCAGCAGCCCTACATTTCCAGATCACTTCATGACCAGTGGAGTTCAACCGGGTCTTTTGTGAGATAGTAACTTATCGAAGACAATGGTGAACGGTGACATAATTTCGTGGTTTGGTTGAAGGTAGACATTAACGCCGTTGGATGCCGGCTCAGTGGTCTAGATGTTAAGCGTTCGCGTGTGAGACCAAAGGTCCTGGGTTCGAATCCCACAAGCGGGATCGTGGACGCACCGCTGAAGAGTTCCACAACAGGATGAAACGACCGACCAGTGCTTTCAATGGCGATCTGACATCGATCGGTTCATTATCTCAATCAAAAACTTAATAATTTCCACAAATCCATATTGGTGAATGTTATCGTCAATTGTCTCTGACTTTTTATTTACAATTTTTAAAATCAATATTCTCAATAATTCTCTTCAATTATATTGATTTTTGGGTGAACAAATCCATAAATAAGACTCTAAACTGTCTGCTTAAATATATGATTTAATAATAATAATAATGAACTAGGCACAGTGATAAAGAATGTTGCGTAAAACAAATCGAGAAAATCTTATCGACTATAAAACGGTTCAAAGTCATAATCAATCATTAGGTTTTATTACCAGTATAGTTAGTTTTATGTCACATTATGTATATATATGGTGTCGAGATAAGTAATTTATAACAACAAACAGAATTGGAATGTCTAGTAGCAGCAGGTTGGGAAGATCGAGTCGAAGAGAACAGGAATGGAGAGTAATTTTTATGGCAGTGAAGAAACGATGAAGTTCGAGACGTTTAATGGAGGATTTGCAGATGGAGTTTTGAATGTATGGTTTTCATATATATATATCCTGACGGCAGCTGTTCAGGGATAAGAATATGAGCTGATCTAGTTTAACGAGCCAAAAGAAGACAATGATACAGGAATCTGGAACATATAGTCCAACATCAATGACAATGAGATAGCTCTACTAATTCCTTTCAGTTTTTCATTTGATTATTTCTATTCGCTCTCCTATTGTTACAGCTTAGAGTAGTATATGACTGTGATAGTTTTCATATTGTTTTTGCTTATCTGTAACTGGAGTTCCCTTGATATTTGACCATCAGTCAACCATATATCGCTGGCACAACTAGTGTGATCGATAGAATAGTTAACCCTATCGATAGGAATCAAATAGTTGGAAGTTCGTGCGAGTTGTAGCAAATCTACGTCTGTTTGAAATGTGGTATTTGTTAAACATCATTATTTAGTGCGAAATCTTGAAGTAACATGGAAGCTTACAACAAATAATCTATCACCGATTTATAACAGACAACTGAACTAGGATCCACTAATATATATGTTTAAATTTAATCAATTGTGATATTGCACGTGAACACTATTGATCGCCGATTGTGGTCTAAAAGTTAAGCATCCATTCCTAAGGTTGAATGTCCTGGGCACGGTCCTCGGTTGAGTCGAGTACGCGTAAAGTAGATAAGTCTCGTGATTAGTCTAAACAGCTTTCCAGTGTTTCCAAAAGTTTACCAAGATCAATAAGGGTTGTAATCTGTTAAAATAATATCATTGAATATTGCAAATACAGAAGTCAGGCGCGGAACAGTTCTGTCATAAGTATTAAATATTCTTTCTTTTAAAGTTTACTTTGACCAGAGTACGGAGGACTTTCATGAATTAGATTTTCCATCACTTCGCATTCGACCACAAAGGTTTACGGTTTCTATGATGCACTCAAGGAAGACTAGGTGTGGGTTTTATTTCGTTAGTATATTTTTCGCTTTACCAAATAAGTTACAGGGTCAACAGTGTCATATGTAGAACTCGCTACAATAAAAACTGTGAAGGATAGCCAGGTGACGGATACCCTGAGAGCAGTCAACACAATTTATCATTTGACTATATGGCGAAACTATCCATGAGATAGTATAACTATGTGGTATAGTAACTACGCCGACTTTGGCAGTTTGAAAGAGCTCCTGAATATCCTCTGCGCTTCTCAGATACTTTAAGAAAGGCCTACAAACGAGGCTTTAGATTTTATTAAAAGCAGGTTTCACCAACTCCATCAAGCTGGTTTTCACAGTATAATCATTGTGTTCCTTTGAAGTTGATCTCACCAATATCTACGCGAAATGTCCCTGAACTAATTGTTACTCTGGGGAATTTTTATCATCAGTAATAAGCCGACTTATCAGAGCCACGAGTATAATCTGTGAGATATTCTAGACTAATCATATATCTTGAATACCTTCGGTATGAAATAATAAAGCTGAAAGTAGTTCTCAATTCAGACTTGGCTGATGGAGGGAAAATGGAAATACAGTATGAATGACCTAAACATATTTGATTTTATTATTAAGTCATTATCAAGAACGGTTGAGTGGTTTTCATACATTGCGCATACATGTACGGTCTATCTATTAACTGAATTGCAGGTCGAAAACTAATCAACCAATCACAATATCTAGTCTTATTATACACCATGAAAACACCATAAACATTCCAAATCTTAGAAACTGAACTTTGAGTCGTCATTTAAATAGATATGTTTTTATCAACGAGTTAAAGGTAATCATCTTTCAAAGTGTTAGATAAATAGCTATTAGAATTGTTTAATAGAAAAGTAACACACCCTTTACCAACATCTTGGAAGCTCTGAACATTTTTATGGTGTAAAGGGTTAAGAATAAATCACGTTTGTATGTCCATCCACCGTCTACCTCGAAGTGCGTTTGTTATCAGGTGTGGAAGGATGCTGTCAAATCAAGACATGTCATCAGTACATGAAATCATGGACTGTGATTCTAAGCCATGTTGGTGGGTGTAAGATGCCCAATGGAGACCCACATGATAAAGGCTATGATCGATTGAAGACATGGGTCAAAAGTAGTTACAACGATCCAGGTTCATTTATTTTAATACTAAACTTTATTTATTGAATTCTTCCTATATACCTTTTCATTCCATCTTCTGGAATCATATTTTCAGCGGCCAACCTTTCTCATTCATCTATGTCAATCGTTTCACATTATATCTTACACAAATCTGAAATTTTAATACATATGTCGTTGTAAGCAGCTGATGAGAAACGACGAAATGTAATGAATTCACATTATTCTGCATTCATGTTTGTTCTGGCTTTATTCAAATTCATAAAGGGAACTAATTGCATAAAATTTCTCGCTATTATTGCTGTGATTATTACTGCTTCTTCGATATCTATTTTGTTTATTTCATCTCCCCGTGCTGACATGGTGTGATGACTTAAACTAATGCATATTTATGCCAAGCCCCATAATAATCAAGAAAGACTCATTAAGGGACAGAATCTGTTCATGATACCATTAATGGCTAGAATGAAACATGTCAAAAGGAGCAGATATTCATATTGGTAAAAGCGATATGGCATAAAATCGGTTGCAATACCACCGAGCTGAATTTATCATTCACATTCCTCTTTAAATCCATACTTTCCACTAGCTAATCTCAGTAATTTCATATGAAATTAGATCTCTCATATATCAGTATTCCTTAGTATGATTCTTGTAACGATCAACTAACGATCCAGTAGGGTTAGTGATAGATAATATGGAGAGCAAATTAGGAGTAGCCTAATGAAAAGGTTGATCCATGACAATGACAATTCACCTAAAGGTCAAGTGCATTTCATTGGGTAGCCCAATACACTTTCTGACTCAAGTAATCAAGTTGGGGGGTGGGTTAACACGTAGCACACCATGTTAGTATCAGATTTCGGACACAGCACATCACAACAGATAACACTCACGAAATCGAATCAAAATGAAACATTTTTAAAAAAAATTAGTAACTAAATAATATTCAATAAAAAATTCATAAACAAAAATAACCTAAGAAAACTTAGCAAAATATCACAAATATTCACCACATACACAAAAAGTAATAATCGAACTGATACCTTAAATGATACATGTTCATACAAGTATGTGTCAATACATACATATAAACGAAGTAATCAAACGTAGATACAGTTATTTGAAAATATAATAAAAACAAAAAAAACACAAAAATTTATGCTACTTGTCTAGGCATAGATACAATAATAATATGAAACACAGCCATCTATGTAAACTTCAAATCATAATACATCCAAATCAACTATGGTATATCACAAATTTCAATATCACAATATGTAGAAACAAAGTAATAGACTGAAAAATAAGCCACTAATAGATTACTAAAAGAAAATTTTTTAAGCATTCTTTTAAGGATATTTACTATTTGGTTGACGAAGTAAATTTAAAAAAGTTTCATCATCTATATGTTGAATAGAAAATCGATTATATTCTTCATCATCATCATGATGACCATTATTGTAATTATTGGGAATATTATTATCCCGTATATTATAATCAAGTAATCGTTGCCTATCTGTTGTTTGTTTAATTGATTCATCTTTTAAATATATTTCATAGAATTTATTTTTTGTTTTTATTTTATTCTTTAAATTATTCATCTTATTTAATTCAATATTATAACATTGTTGTTTTTCTTTATCATGTTGAAATTTATTACGTAAACGTCGTTGAAGTAGAAATAAATTTGGTTGATAAATAGAATGTTTTAACTTGTAGTTATTATTATCATCAGGAAATAGATAATGTTTCGATGAAATACATGTACATATTATGTATACCATTGATACGGTTGTACAACATAATATAACAATTCCAACTATTATTTTGATTGATCAAGTTTTGGAGAAGAGAAGAACACAAACAATAAGATGAGATAAAATAGAATATACTATCATCAAAATTAATCTCTCTCTCTCGCTCTCGCTATATATATATGAAATCATAGACTTATAGTCAAGTAGCCCCTAAATGCCCTGGTATGGCCGAGAGTAGAGTGGGCCCTTCCTCCCTCTCGAAATGCTCTCATATAACCACGCGTATATAGCCTCTGCCAGGGAAGTCCTACTCACTGTCTTCTCGTGGTGGGGGGTGTCGTTTACGAAATTAAGAGGACGAAAAGCGAAGGTATGGCGCTTTAACCGGGTTGGTGGATATGGAGAGTCCACGTAGGGGAGTTGGAACACCCTCATTCCAAACCAATGGTGCACATGGGTTCCAGTATCCTGAGGGAACAAATGGCGTATGAACCAATCATTGGTCACCGGCTACCATGGGACTGCATCTCCTCACGATACTCCATTGCCTTGTGGGTCAGACCTTCAGGTCGAAGGCTCCGGATGTGGCCCCCTAAGAAAACCACCTGCTTCGGTTTGGGCACCCGAGCAGTATCACAGCCCTCACACATATCGAATGAGATCTGTGTGGCGCATATCTACTTGGTGCCTCCTTGTATCAATATTTGTGTGTTTAAATAAATAAATAAATATAGTCAAGTAAAAAGGATGTAGCATTGGTAGTATATGAATGAGCAAGTGAACAATTAAGTTAGGTTAAAACAGTACCGGTTAAAATGAGTAAACAGGTACTCGAACAAATAATTATGATACAATACTTATGTAGTAAACGAGAGCTCGGGCAGGGTGAACCAATTTATTGTTTTTTTGGTGTGTGTAAAATTACACACGACATCTTGTCAAAATATGGAAGCTATACAATGATCACATTATTTGCACATTCTTCTTCAGTTGTTATTTACATACCTTGTAATTGTTCTAATTATGTTATTTCAATTGTTCTTTGTTTCCCTTCCTGTTTTTCTTAATTCAATCTTCTGTTGGTAGATATTGCACACACGACTGGTGATACATACTACTTATATGTGCCAGCATAAATACCATTCAACTCCGCCTGTAGCTCTTATAGGGTTACTGCCGGTCCCAAGCCCGGGTAAAGGAGGAGGGTTGGGCATGGGGTTAGCGTCCCCATCCCGTAGAAAACTAACTCGCTAAAAAAACGCTTACCAGAAAAAAATCCAAACCATTTTAACTCTGCCCTGGGAGTTAGAAGGTCTTCATTTAGAAGAATTATGACGCTTCATGGTGAAAGCCGAGTTCCTTCGGAAGCCACGAGGCCGATGCCCCTTCTAACAACCAGAGCAAAAATTTTTATAGGTACATGGAACGTTCGAACAATGTGGGAAACCAGGAAGACCAGACAAATAGCAATGGAAATGAGGAGATACAACTTAGCAGTACTGGGAATCAGCGAAACCCACTGGACCCAAGCTGGACAGAAAAGGCTACGTGAGAGATGCTGTTATACTCCGGTCACGAAGAGGACAATGCTCCACACACTTAGGGAGTCGCTCTTATGCTGTCCAAAGTAGCACGAAATGCACTTGTAGTATGGGAATCTCACGGATCCAGAATCATCAAAGCATCGTTCAAAACAAAGAAGGAGGGGATCTTAATGAATATTATCCAATGTTATGCACCCACAAATGATAGCAACGACGACATTAAAGATCAGTTCTACGAGCGGCTGCAGTCAGTCATTGAGAAATGCCCAAGAAAGGACCTCACCATTCTGATGGGAGATCTAAATGCCAAAGTCGGAATTGACAACACTGAATATGAAGATATTATGGGACGACATGGACTGGGAGAAAGAAACGAAAATGGAGAAAGATTTTCAAATCTATGTGTATTCAACAAATTGGTCATAGGAGGCACAATATTTCCACACAAGCGTATACACAAGGCTACATGGATCTCACCGGACAACACTACAGAGAACCAAATAGATCATGTTTGCATCAACAAAAAATTCCGAAGGACAATGGAAGATGTGAGAACCAGGAGAGGCGCTGACGTAGCTTCAGATCACCACCTAGTTGTGGCCAATTTAAAACTGAAGCTAAAAAAGAACTGGACAAGTGGACAAACAGCATTACAAAGGTTCAATACAGCCTTCCTTCGAGATACTGACAAAATGAATTCAAGATAGCTGTCAACAACAGGTTCCAAGCCTTACAAGATCTACTGAAAGAAGAAGAAACTAGTATGGAGGACAATTGGAAAGGCACCAAGGAAGCATTAACTTCAACGTGTCAAGAGGTTCTGGGTCTAAAGAAATACCATCATAAGGAATGGATCTCTACAGAAACACTGGACAAGATCAAAGAAAGGAAAAACAAGAAGGCAGCAATAAACAACAGCCGAACACGAGCAGAGAAAGTCCAAGCACAAGCTGAATACATAGAAGCAAACAAACAAGTGAAGAGGAGCATTAGAGCCGACAAGAAGAAATACGTGGAAGAACTAGCAACGACGGCAGAAAAAGCTGCTAGAGAAGGAAATATGAAACAGCTTCACGATACAACGAAGAAACTAGCAGGGAAATACAGTAAACCAGAGAGACCGGTCAAAGACAAAGAAGGCAAGCCAATCACTCAAATTCAACAACAGCGGAACAGATGGGTAGAATACTTCGAGGAACTCTTGAATAGGCCGGCTCCAATGAATCCACCGGACATCGAAGCGGCACACACAGATCTTCCCATAGACGTCAACCCACCAACGAAGGAAGAAATCAGAATGGCCGTCAGACAAATCAAGAACGGGAAAGCAGCGGGTCCGGACAACATACCAGCTGAAGCACTGAAGTCAGACATCGAAGCAACTACAAACATGCTTTACCTTCTATTCAAAAAGATTTGGGAGGAGGAACAAGTGCCGATGAACTGGAAAGAAGGGCACCTCGTCAAGATTCCAAAGAAAGGAGATCTGAGCAAATGTGAAAACTATAGAGGCATTACACTGTTGTCAATACCAGGGAAGGTCTTCAACAGAGTGTTGCTGAACCGGATGAAAGATGCAGTAGACGCCCAACTTCGAGATCAACAAGCTGGATTCCGTAAGGATCGATCATGCACAGACCAAATTGCAACACTACGGATCATCGTCGAACAATCAGTTGAGTGGAACTCATCACTATACATCAACTTCATTGATTATGAAAAGGCATTTGACAGTGTGGATAGGAGGACGTTATGGAAACTTCTTCGACACTACAGAGTTCCTGAGAAGATTGTCAACATTATCCGGAACTCATACGATGGACTACAGTGCAAAGTCGTGCATGGAGGACAGCTGACAGATGCATTCCAAGTAAGGACCGGAGTCAGACAAGGCTGTTTACTCTCTCCCTTCCTCTTTCTTCTGGTGGTCGACTGGATTATGAAGACCTCGACATCTGAAGGAAAACACGGAATTCAATGGACAGCTCAGAATCAACTAGACGATTTGGACTTCGCAGATGACCTAGCCCTCCTATCACGTACACACGAACAGATGCAGATGAAGACAGCCAGTGTAGCAACAGTCTCTGCATCAGTAGGCCTCAGCATACACAAAGGGAAAACCAAAGTCCTCAAATTCAAAGCGGAAAACAACAATCCAATCACTCTTGATAGCGAAACTCTGGAAGATATAGAATCCTTCACATACCTGGGAAGCATAATCGATGAACAAGGAGGTTCATATGCAGACGTAAAGGCAAGGATTGGCAAAGCAAGGACAGCATTCCTAGTTAAAGAACATATGGGACTCAAAACAACTTTCAACCAATATCAAAGTGAGAATCTTCAATACCATCGTCAAAGCAGTTCTACTGTATGGAGCTGAAACTTGGAGAACTACAACAACCACAATCAAGAAAGTACAAGTATTTATAAATAGCTGTCCACGCAAGATACTCAACATCCATTGGCCGGATACCATCAGCAATAGCCTTCTGTGGGAGAGAACAAACCAACTTCCAGCTGAAGAAGAAATTAGGAAAAGACGATGGAAATGGATAGGACATACATTACGCAAATCGTCAAACTGCATCACGAGGCAAGCCCTAACTTGGAATCCTGAAGGGAAGCGAAAAAGAGGAAGGCCAAAGAACACATTGCGTCGGATAATAGAAGCAGATATGAAGACGATGAATTACAACTGGACGGAGCTAGAAAGGATTGCCCAGGACAGGGTTGGATGGAGAATGCTGGTGAGCGGCCTATGCTCCTTCATGAGGAGTAACAGGCGTAAGTAAGTAATAAATACCATCCACCACACTTATATTATACTATGCAAACAGTAGATTGATGAAGATATTATTAGTAACACAGGTGGATAGCTATCTTATATAATGGGTGATATACTTGGCATGCGGTTTATTGAATAGAAGGTTTGAAATCCACTTCACTTCTGAACCTGGACTTCACTCAAATTAGACGGACTGGAACGCCTCAGAATAGCTAGCTTATTGGTTATTGTGTTGTTCAGTATTCGTTCCGTTCGCAGATTTAGGCGAACTCGTAATCTCTCCAAACATAGCAATTAGCCATTAAGTTATATATATTGATTAATAAGTTTTGCATCTCCGTAAGAGTGCTGAGTGTACATTTATGCCGCATGCTTAGTAACTCTGTACATGCTACCAGTCTGTATACTTGTAGAAAGTTTATGCCTACGAAAATTGATTTTGCTATGTTATGGAGTGTAAACAATCATTAATGTTGTACTGAAAAATCGTTTCACGGATACACATATCCATTCTATTACATTGAAAGTTTTGCTTTTTAAAAAAATCAGATCTGTCCAAAATGATTAGAAGTCATCTTCAAGATAGAATAGACTTATAGTTATTACTATTGTTACTTAGTAATGTTTTGTATCAACCTGATCATGCCTGTAAAATGACGTATATTATGCAATAATTCTCGGAATCTATTATTATTATTATTATTACTTATGCTGAGTTCCGTATTAAATACTTTGACGTAGAGTAAAATAGGAAATCGATAACTAACTTCAAGATGGAACTTTTTAATGGCTTTCAAAGCATAAAAACAGATTATATGGAATTCAAAATCCTGATTTCATTCAAGTATCTTAAATCACAATAGATAATTCCTATTGTTTTATGTATCAGCTCCTAACGGCCTTAAAAATAAAACAGTTGACTAGATTTTAGGATTGTTATGTTATGAGCTGTTGTTTCGGTGTATTAGTCAGCTAATATCCGTAACTGATATTAATATCCTATTGTACTAATCTATCCTTATCCTTCATAACAAATGACATACACCCTAATAAAATGAACATAGTAACGAGTAACTCCGGAGACACTGTGTATTTTGTGTAATCAAAAATGGCAAAATGTTTTGTGACAGAGCACGTGATGGTGAAGACTCGAGTTATACTGAGGATTTAGAAGTGAACCACACATACTTGGATTTAAATAACTCGTGGAGAATAAGAAATGTTATGTTTGAAGAGATTATGAGATCACCTAAAATCGGCGGACGGAACGAAGGGTCAGAGACACAAAAACAAGACAAGCTAATTACTCCGATGCGTCCCAGCCGTGCTACTCCAGGGAGAAGACTTGGTTCAGACAAAGAAAATGTATAATCTAGAAGTAGCCAGAAGCACGAAAAACCAAGTATATATATATTCATCATAAGATAGCGTATTAAAACAGGCAACAAGTCAATGACATCTACCGTCCTTCCAAGTGGGAAATACAATCTAAAGATAAAACTGGACACTTTTAGCGCGAAAACGAGAAATTCAAACTTCCAAAAGCTACAGAAATAAGACGTTTATCAGGTGATTTTTGGGGGTCTAGCATCCCTAACACGGAAAAATGTAACAATTACAAAGCATTAGATGAGAATCTGTCAACATTGTATGTGTGTGATAAGTGACAAATAACTTCGAGCAAACTATTGAATAAACTAACCAGTGAACATATCCAGAGAACTCGAGAAGTAGACATTAACACCACTACCATCATGAAGGAGTGACATCACACGTGACAAACTACCATTGTTTGGAGCTGGTTTATTTAAATTGAGTAAGGCACACATCAGTGGATAAATATCAATCAGATGAATAGAACTAATTATTTGACCACCACCAACAATCGTGCTCCTGAAACCTGGTCCCATAGCTAGAAAGAATGGAGACATTTCATCATGGTCCGGATCATAACCATGATCTCCACGTTTAGCTGAAATACAGTAAACAAGGAGCATTACTGAGTGAATCCAATATATAACTAGATAGAATTGACCAGGAGATTGAAATTTAATGAGTAATTGTATTAAGGTGAATAGCGTAGTGTCAAAACTAAATGAATGGCCTTATTAATCACAGAATAAATATTTGAATGTTAGAAGGTTCAATTACATCTGACGACCTACTATCAACGTATTTATCGAGAATAAATGAAGTTATCATAAGGTGAGGTTTTATGATTTGTTGAAATTTCCAATGGCTAAGAAGGATCAAAAGAATACGGATCGATAGATGATACAATACAATGTAGTACAGTAATGAATTTTCACAGGATCGAATTATTGATGTAAGTCCTTGAAAAATTTGTAGTTTAAATTAAGGCCGCTAGACAAAAGAACGAGTTTTTCTTGCGATCGAATAGCATATTCATATAAAAATTATTAACAGGAAAATAACACGACTAAATATTATAAACGACTGACCAGTATTAATTTTTTGGGTCGTTCACTACCCAATGGATTAAGTCCTAACTGTTGAACCTAATTCTATCTCATCATATCAAAAATATGACACAGGGACTATAACCTATGATCCATACTTCTCATAAAGGTTATTGACGCCAAATGACTGCCCAAGACTGAACAGATGATGCACAGTTCGAAGTTGTGACCCATTTTTCAAAATAGTGCTTGAAGCAATAAGACAGAAGTGACTTTATTTACCACTATAAATATGTGAACAGATGGGATGTCAAGACCTAGATATATTAAAGAATTAATTAAGTGAAATGGTCAATTTGAGGTTCTAAAATTTTGATTGTTACTCTTAGACAGAACGACAGGTGGATACTGGCAGGTTGGGGTTGGTATAAAAAACTTGGCTATATGTTGTAAACCTTGGGTAAAATAGCTCGGAATTGGTCGAAATGGAGTAGATGCATTTACTGTTTGTTTACTCCCAAAACGTATGTTTCAAAACTCAATACTTTTTGTTCCGCGAATATATTCTTTACAGTATATTACTTTCTTTAAACCCAATATTTTTACTACCACTAATACTTTGGTATGCATTTTAATAATTTCATCTCACTGTGTTCATATTGCGTGTGAACTTCAAACGATGCATACTTGCTTCGGGCTCTACATTACTGTCTGATTGATAAGACAAACTCTATAACTGTTTCTTGAGCATACTCAAGTCCAGGCGTCCGTGAAAACTGGGTTTATGCATAAACGTAACTTAGCTTGAAATCTTTAAAACAATCGATAGTAGTTCTATGATTCACTTTTATTGTTCAAAAAATACGAATGGTCATAAGATAACAGATTTTGCAATGCAGCAAGCAGGAATTTAATATTATCAATTTTAGATGAAAGTATAAAGGAGTCATTTGAGTACCTATCTTCCTTCATTTATACTTTTGATTTTGGCTAACACAACCAATTTGATTTTTAAATGTTGAACAAGAATAGTTTATACCAGAAATTGGAAAATTTTTAGAATAATAAAATCAAACGAAGCTGTTTATGTGATCAAAACAAGACGACTCGCATATTAATACTGAAAATACTATACTTACTAAATTTCGCAACCGATTTTCGTGATCTAACGATTGTCCATCCAGGCTCCGAATAAACTACCACTGGGCTTATTCGTCGATTATTCGAGTAGTGTAAACGAATAGGTATATTATCCTTCAGAAAAACATTCATCTTTGGATGTTTTCCGACCAGTCCTTTGTAGAGATTAATAGATGAGCTCCCTTTTAACATTTAGAAAAGTTTATATGAACGGACAAATTACCATCTTTTGGCCATAATGACCAAAACACACGATCCTCTGACCCCGGACTATAATACATGCTCTCGTTGATATAATCATGCAGAATAATTATTCTGTTAGCATCCACTCCAGACATCCCATGATCACTTGTTAAAATAATGTTAAGTGATGACTTTAGAGATGGCCTAGTATCAATTAAAGATAGTAAGTACCCAATATCATCATTTAACTTCTCGATAACATTAAAAATTTCAACAGAATCAGGTCCAGTCAAATGACCTTGTGAGTCAGGTTCATGAAAATATATTAGACCAAGTGTCACTTCATCTAAATTTAACCACTTAATGGTTTGATTAATTCGATCAACTAAAGGAAGTTGATGGTTATATTGAGAATAATAAAAACTAGGTAATTGTCCTTTGAATGGTGTACTACTCCCTGGCCAAAACGTAACAGCACTTTTATGACCATGCCGTTGATTTGTAACCCAAATCGGTTCAGACCCAACATCAAACCACTTTAGTTGTGATAAGTGCCTCGTATTACTCAAGTCAAAAGTATCATTAAGCTCAGGATCATAAAACATATTATCAACAATACCATGACTCTCTTCATGCATCCCAGTGACCAGTGATAAGTGATTTGGTCCTGTTCGAGTAATAAACTCATTATGTACTTTCATAACACGTACTCCGGTCTTCCAAATCCGTTCGAAAGAGGAAATGTTGACATTCCGAAGCTTAGCACGATCTAGATAATTATGACTGAAACCATCTAAAGATATTACAAGTAATTTTTGCTGTGTATAAGCCTCACAAATCCCTTGTAGCAAGATAAAAAACGGTATCCAGACAATACAGTGGCAGAAGCACTCCATAGTAATATAGTAACTATTCTGAAGGAAATTGCTTCAAAGTAGGAACATATGGAACAAATTTTCTAGTGTGATTTTTCTATCGTTTGGTTTAATGGCTTTATGTATGGAGAATAACAATATTCACTTCCACTAGCCCATTAAACAGCATTTGAGACTGAAAAAAAAGAAAAGTCAAGATTAAACATTTCTATTTCAATGTGCTATACATCTGAAAATTGTTGTATTGATAAATTACCATACCATCTTACTTCGGATTTGATAGTAATCGGATCATCGTGAAACTCCTTTGAATATGTAGTGATAGATACTTACAACGAATGAAATTTTAAGCTTATGAAGTAACTTACTAAGAAATGTTACCGTTGTATGGATTAATATGATTCTATCACTACAGAGTATATTTAATATGGGGACCAGCCCAAATACTCAGACTGTGCGAAAATCGCAATAAACTTCCCAGTTTTAGATTCACAACAATCAGTAACTGCTTTATATTTCCTTGTGAAGAGTAAAAATAAGAAGTAAACTGATGAGATTAAGACCTCGTTAACTGACTAGTAAGGCAAATATCACCATAGTCCAAATACGGGAGGAGCTGGTTGCTGTAAACTAATTTGAAGAACAGACGAGTGGCCAAACCAAAAAGTGGAACTACTTCGTGAAGTCATTGGTTGTAGGACTACATCGTGTTTACAGCTACAAACTATCACACTGCGTTAGGAGCGATATCATAATTTACGGGAGAAATGACCGTATTTAAGATGACTAGTCTTAGATTCAGGAACGAAATTCACTCATTCATATGGCTAAATACATTCTGGCGTTGTAGCTGATGTCAGTTTATGATGAAGACCCCAACTCTAATTCCCAACCCTAAATTCTAATTCTAATAACACACTGGTTTGTAAACCTCACTTAACGCAAGTAAGTAGGTGGACATTTTCAATTTCACTTTAGCGTCACCTAAGTGTCGTTCATAAACTATAGTTTCATCTAGAATTCCGGCCAACTCATTGGATTCGGACGTCTCAACCACAACTACACTCTTAGGCTGACAAGAAACAACCACCCAAAAGACAGAAATAAATTGTTCGACAGAATCAGGATTTTTTATGTTACATATAATCCTGGAAAGCCTTACTAACACAAACAGCCATAAAACCACATTTGATGACCCAAAACCTGAATAGGGCGGAAGGTTTAAATTGTATGCGTACGACATCCAATATCCTCAAGACGAATTTACATAATTAAATTAATTCCTTGTTCTAGATACTTGATGCAGTGACATAGATTCAGGAAAATCATGTCGTCCAGTGTGTGCGACCAAGTCATTTAACTGTCTAGAAGCTCTGTGTTTGATTCCAGTTGGATTGTATGCTGGTTGTTATAGAAATAAACATCCCACCTACCTCCGTATATATTTATGGACATAATCCACATTAAAGAATAACGGGATTAAATAATTAGATTTTGAGCGTGTATATTTAATGTACTCATGACGAAGAGGGGAGAGTGAAGGGGGTCGGAGAAGGCAAGTGAGACAACTCGATTTAATCAAGCGTTCAGATTCATATTTCGGTTCACATTTGTGTAGTAAGAACAGAAAGCCTATTTCCCATGTTACTCCCCTTCTAGCGTACCTCTATTAGTGTCTGTTCTTCTCTTGAATGAATCAATTGAAGGTGCAGGCGGTACTGCTTCGGGTAAGGGGTTCACAGAATTGTTGACTTAGTGTGAAAATCTGTGTGCAATGGGCATTTTGTCGATTCCTCGCCTTTATACTCGCCTGTGTAAATCACCAGCGTAGATGATCTACCTCGAATGACTGGGGGCTTATTAGAGTTAGACAGGAAATGTGTGACGAAATAGCTAACGTCGAAGTCACACTTCGCGGTCAGCACCTTACGTGGATTGCCCCATCGACGTATCGAGGTACTATAAATGCTTCGAAGACTGTACAACACAAGGGATATTATTAAGGAAATATTTTAGTTAAAGTAGATACAAGTGAAAGTAAGACCACCGCCTCATGGGTCAGTCCATGGCGTATGATTAACTTATGCATGTTGGTTGTTCTTGACCTTTACGGGGATTGATGATTTGTTCAATATTCAGTGACACAACTGCCGGATTATTTGGTTGGGGCTCACTGACATTTCACTGGCCGTACACCTGCTATGTCCTCTGAAATGTTTCGATCTATTGTGAATTTCCTTTGAAACAATTGCTTTCAGTCTGAGCCCAGTTCTCAAGTTTGGGCTGTATTAAGGTTTTGTATACTGCAATGAACATCGTATTATCTAACTTAGTAAATGTCCCTCTTAAAGCCCATAGGGTTCTAAACTTTTTGTCTTCTGCCTCTCGGCAATGGGCCGTGGTCTTAAGATCATGACTCACTGTTACCCCAAGATCCTTGTGAGACCGAACCACGGGTATAGGCACTTCTCCTATATTGTACATATTTACCCTTGTGTCCCCAAAGTGCATGTTGACACACTTCGCAACGTTGATAGCCATCAGCCACCCCTTAGACCAGTTAGGTCTTCCTGAAGTACGTATGCATCTGCGTCTCCTGTTACTTCTCGCCAGAGTTCTACATTGGGGACTCAATTATACTTGGAAGTTCATTTAAATACAGCATAAAAGGTGAAGAACCTAAGAAAAAACTGAGGTACTTTACTAAGCACTGATCTCTACGTGTGGCATTTGGATTTCGCTATTGCTTTCTGTCTACGACCTACTACGAAATCCTTAAGATATTTTAGGAGGGGTCCGGTAATACCTATATATTCCGAATTCAAAGGCAGTCTGAAGATGGCACAGGTATTCAGTGTTTGACAACGCTTTTACCAGCAACACCTAATATAATATGTACCCGCCCAGAGAAATCGAAGGACAGAGTCGAGGAGGTCGGAAGAGTTTATTTGGCGATAACCAATATATCGGAATTCTCTGATCTAATCTGGCTAGCGATTGCGGTAGATGTTGAGCACAGCGTTACCACACGTGATCTGGTGCTGATGCATGACCGAGCGCCTTCAGCTAGATGAGTCCACTAAAACATATGGTCAGCATCCAATCTCGAAAACTTACAGAGCTATTTATTTTGGGGACTTATTTACCGCTACAGATCACTCCCCCCTAGTGGGGCATTGAGGACCCTAAGACGTGGCCGGCCAGAAGTATAAACCCAACGAGTCTGCCGTTGGTAAACACTCTTCTGATAGCTAAATAAGTTTAGCAGCGTCTGGTCGTCTTTCCTTACTATATGGAACCGAGGTACAATATAGCAAAAAAAGTAAAATACAATGAAAATTTCGGCTTCTCGTAAACTGCATCGTGTTTTCCAGCCGTCCTGGAAAATAAAAAAATAAAATGTAAGTGCATGTCGAAATACACTCGTATGTGCGTAAAAACGCAATGTTGGCGAACAAAAAAGGCGAAATAAACTCAAACACAAGTAATAGCGTTAAGAAAATTTTTGTTTTTTTGTTCGTTTTTAAAAAAAATAAAAACATAAATATATAAGCATATTAGAATTGTTCTTTTTAAAAAAAATATTATATTTCGTAAATATAAAGATCGAGGTAATATAAAATATCGAGTAGTGCTTTACGTGCAGTAGTCGTTTAAATGTTCTGGAAATCTTACTTTTCTTCCAGAACGCGTCGTTTTCAGTTTATTTTCAGACACATTCGGAGTGTCATCGCTAATGTTGGTTGTTGGTTGAGGAATCATGAGTGTAGGAGTCGTGTTGTGCGATTGTACCGAAGGAAGGTCGACGTGAATAGGATTTCCTTCTAAATACGCTGCTTTCAAGCGATCGATGCTGATGCTATCGTTTGTTCCATTCTTATCGACTATATAGTACTCAGATTCACGTCGAATAACTTTGAAAGGTCCATCGTATGCTGATTCTAATGGTCGTCGATGTGAGTCTCGACGAACGAAAACGTGTGTACTATATCGTAAGTCAGGTTGAACGAAGACATCGGTGGATTGTGGTCGAGTGGAAGCAGGTTTAACAATACGCATTGCGTTTGTAAGCCTGTTCGTGTAGGAGGTTAGATCCATGCTCATTGAAGAGGATGAAGGATCCACGAATTCTCCTGGAAGTCGAAGGGTCGTTCCCTAAACTAGTTTAGCCGCAGTGTATCCAATGTCAGCTTTCACTGCATTCCGAATACGTAGTAAGATGAGTGGAAGAGCGTCGGTCCACTGTGAAACGTTTGCAGCTGATAATGAAGCTTTTAGTTGTCGGTGAAAACGTTCTACCAACCGGTTTGCTTGTGGGTGGTAGGTGGTCGTTCGGAAACGAGTGATTCCTAAAAGTGCGGTCAGACAACGGAAAAGTTCAGATTCAAACTGACGTCCGCGATCTGTAATGATGGTTGGAGGGCAGTCGAAGTTTACTACCCATCGTTCGACGAAGGTGCGGGCCACTGTTTCAACAGTGATGGCCATGATAGGTACTGCTCCTGGCCATCGAGTGAAACGGTATACGAAGGTAAAGAGGTAAGAGTATCCGTTTGAATCTGGTAAACGTCCTACCAAATCCAGATGAAAATGGTCGAAAGGAGCATCGGGGGTCTTAAATGAGCCTAAGGGACATTTATTGTGTCTGATGACCTTAGACTTTGGTCAGCTTACACAGGAGCGTGCCCACTCCCTCACGTCTTTATTCATACCAGGCCAGCAAAACCGTTCTGCTATAAGCTTGATGGTTGCACGAACACCTGGATGAGAAAGTTTGTGCAATGTGTTGAAGACATTGCGTCGATAATGTTTCGGCACGATTGGGCGATCCCTACCTGTAGATGTGTCACAAAGTAAGGTTTCCTTACACGTTCTTATCTGTTTGATGCGTAGTTTAAGGGTTGTAGACGATAACTAGTGCTGAAGATCAGTGTCTTCTTTTTGAAGCTGGGCGAGTTTAAGAAGGTCGATTCCCTGGAAACTGTTCAAGGAAGTTATGCGAGTCAAGGGGTCTCTAACTACATTGTTCGCTCCAGAGATGTGTTGAATGTCTGAAGTGAACTGCGAAATGTAATCCAGTTGTCGAGACTCACAAGGAGAGTACTTGTCTGAAGTAGAGCTTAAAGAGAATGTGAGTGGCTTATGGTCAGTGAAAAGAGTGGATTCACGACCTTCTATGTAGTGTTGAAAATGTCGTACAGCACAATTCATAGCTAGGAGTTCCCTACTGAATGTGCTGTACCTCGATTCGATGTCTAGCAACCGTCTAGGATAACGCGTGAGTGTATGACACAAGTCGGTTATGTCATTCTGAGTCGTTTGAAGCTTTTCTTTGACTGAAAAAACCTCTTAGTAGAAGATTTCTTAATTTTCAAGATACGATCGGCAGGTGCAGCCAGTTCGTCTAAGGCGTTGTTCTGAAACGAGACCAGAACCGCTTGCACCTGTTGAGGAAGTTTAGACAAGAAAAGTTGTTTGAATAGGCCTTCGTCGAAAGTTCTTAGGCTTATAACCTCTCTCATTCTTTGCAACATGTCCGTCGTAGAGCTGTGTTGCAGGTCTATGTTATTAAAGAGTTGGTCTAACATTTGTCGATCGGTTAGGTCTCCTCATTTAAGAATCGAACGTTTTAAGGTTTCGTGAGGTTCAGAACCATCCCTAGTAAACATACTAGGTGTTACGTACCTGTTGAACTCCCGCGGTAGTGCCTTGACTACTGCGAAGAATTGTGCACGTGTGTCGTTCACGCCGTGCTCGTGGAAGTCGGCTTCTGCGTAACAGAAGGGCATGAGTTGGAACGATGGTGGGGATATGATCTTTATCTTTAATACCTTAGGAGTCTGTTCGGTCATATGGGAATATTAAGTACGAGAATACGAGGGAAAAATATATAGATATCCTGAGACTCGGGGAAAAAATATCACAATGCATAAAAAAATGAAAAATAAGGCAATAATATATAAAAATCTTAAAAAGGAACAGACTCACAGTTGCAATTAGGTGTACCAAATCACGTCGGTCTCACCAATGAAGATGGCACAGGTATTCAGTGTTTGACAACGCTTTTACCAGCAACACCTAATATAATATGTACCCACCCAGAGAAATCGAAGGACAGAGTCGAGGAGGTCGGAAGAGTTTATTTGGCGATAACCAATATATCGGAATTCTCTGATCTAATCTGGCTAGCGATTGCGGTAGATGTTGAGCACAGCGTTACCACACGTGATCTGGTGCTGATGCATGACCGAGCGCCTTCAGCTAGATGAGTCTTTCGTGCCTATAGGTAACCCTCGTGCTATTGATAGAAGAAGCCAGACAAGAAGTGAATAGGTCTTTATTTCGATCTTAGCGCAGTCACAAAGGAGCGTGGGATTATCTGTTCAGACAAACAAAGGCTTTCAACATTCAATATAAGATAATAAGGAATATAACGCTTATACAAAATAAGGAAGTGAATGAATACTTGAACAATACTGTTTTGGCATATGCTTAGTTGTTTAGGGTCAACTCTTAACCAACCAACCTATGCTGTTACAAGTCCACTAAAACATATGGTCAGCATCCAATGCCGAAAACTTACAGAGCTATTTATTTTGGGGATTTATTTACCGCTACAAGTTTATTTGTCGGCACCTTATCAAATGGTTTGCTGAAGTCTATGTGGACAACATACACTAATTTTCCATTGTCTAGGGTTTTTATCTATTGCTCCATTGCTATAAGGGGGTTTATTGTGCAAGATAAACCTTTTCTGGAACCACGATGTCGGCTGTTTAACAAGTTGTTGGTTTCCACGACACTGGAGGGGCTGACGGGTCTATAGTTCGATGGAAGTTGTCTTGGTCATGTTTTATGTATGGGAGTAACGATTGCACCCTTCCACTCCATATGTAACGCACCTTGGTTGAGTGACATATTAAATATCACAGTTGTTGTGGCTGTAACATATTGTGCAGTTAGTCTCAGGGGTTCGGGATGCAGTTCATCAGGTCCTGTTTACTTTTCCGTGGCTAAAATGCGAGTAGCCTTAAGCACATCGTCTTGATTAAAATCCACGGTGAGCGGAAGGTTTTTGACATTGTATTTGAGTCCGTTACTTTGTCTAGGATAAGTTCGCGTGTGAAAACTGCGCCAAATAGTTTGTTCTAGCCTCTGCTTTTTCTTGATCATCCTCTCTCATTTCAAATCTACTCCCTTACGTAGTTAGGCCAGGAATCCAATGCTGCATCTCTTGAGCTGCTTGATTGCTGATTGTGCCAACTGCATTTCAGATTTTCTCTGGGCTTCCCGAATTTTCGTTTATCATAATAGTCGTAAACGGCAAAGCTATCACTAAAAACTTTTTGTCACAGGTCAGCAGTTGTAATTTCATGAATTTCATAGACATCTAACAATAATAAAACACGAGTGTAGCTGTGAGAGCCATGTTCTCAACTCAATTTTCTGATTATACAGTGAATCAATTATTCATATTAGTGTCCATGCTTTGAATACAAACTAAATATGAATATTGAGTTGAACAAGAGCCACACCTGTGAGGCTGAGCAATGCCATCTGGTCAATCCGAATTCATTTGATTCATTGTTCCAGCCTTCTTCATCGATGGGTTTTTCTCCGCGTCGAATTTCTCTTGTTCAGTTTTGAGGGTCCAATGCCAGTACAAGCTCATGTGAACCATGTGTTTGGAATCAGTGATGTGTAAGACTTCCTTAGGAGCGACTTTGAATGCATGTGAAAGCACCTCGAAAGGAAGAGCGATCTCTCACCAACACTGGTCGTGTCAGTGTATTCTGGTGTGTGTGTAAACATTTGAAAGACTAATTAATGTTCTGAAACAGTTTGGACTCATCACAATACAATGCAGATTAAACCACTTCAGGATGTTCCTGAATTTTCTATACTATAGTACAATCGACGGTTACTCTATTGCTAGTGTCGTTTCCATTGCGTTAGAATTGCTGATGATTCGAATTTAGAGTATTAACATAAATTCAGTTCCTGTAATATTTTAGTATTATTATTGTTTCAGTCCGCTTGTGTCTACTCAGTTTTAGCATTACTGATGTACATTCTGGCTAGAAGTTGATGTCCCCTTCGAACCGTGGGCAAGAGTTGCACCTTATCTTCGCAAATATACTATTTATAGAGCACCGGTAATTAAGAAGGATAGGTATTTATATACTCAATCATAGATAAAAATATGTTATGGGCTGTGGGTGGACAAGATCAAAGTACAACAAAGTTGTCACAGGGCAATCGACCGCATAGGAATAATCATTCTGTCCAAGATTTAACATGACTGTGAGTAAGTGTTATGAGGCGTCTGTGAAAGTCACTAAATTCCTTACTAATTGTCATCTGTTCCACATGTTCGTTTGTTTGGCTATTTAGATACTTTACCTATACATCCATCTTAAAACTCATTTACTTTGAGAATTCTTTTCATTTTTGGTCAGGCATCCCAAAAACATATGGCATTGGAAAAACGAGCTTCACTCAAATTCAAGGTCACGCGGTACGTTAATGGGTTGCTGTTACGTGCTCATTAAAGTTCGATATAACTTATTAAGAATACTTGTAACATGGGTAGTCTTGAAAACTTTGAATTTCTCAAAGTAATTTATCTCTGTGTTTTGTTGCTTTCCCATCATAGTAATGATGGTTGTAAGCGTACTCTAAGTTCGGGCCACAATACAGATTTTGTTTTCCATGCCTAGTTAATAGTTTAAACGCCTTGACCAACGCGGCGAGATTATAAATTATGGACGAGCCAATCAAATATAGGATAACAGGTTTCGGATATTGGCGGGAAATTCATTCATCCATTTGAGTAAATATATTTTCGGCATTTTAGCTGATGTCAGTTCGTGATGAAAACTCGAAATCTAGTTCCTAGCCTTAATCATCAACTGTACATTATAATCCCAATTCCTCATGCGGGTATATAGCCGTAATTTGACACTAGTTGTTAAGTGAACACCCCAAGGTCAGTTTAGCGTCGCTCAAAGATCGTCTATAAATTATAGTCTCACCCAAATCTCGATACCTGATTGTTTTGGGTGATAATAAAGATAGTCTAGCCGAACGTCCGATAATCACTCAATAGCTGCGACTGAAGTCATGCTTTTTACTGGTTTCAGTAGTATGAGACTTTTTTATCCGTATTGTGCTGTTGCGCTTATCGTTGTAGAGTAGGGATGCGATATAATAAAGCTGCGATTTGACAGAAAAATCGACTGGAGAATAGGAACCAATTGGGGCATGATAACTACCTCTTTCTGACTTCAGAACTTAGTCACATCCGCCTGTTTTATTCATGGGTATCCAAACATTCCAGTTAGCAAAATCATTGGCTACTAAAACAAGTGCACTATAGTCCAGCGCATCAGACGATTAGCTATTCTGAGGGTTGGCGCACATGCATTGACAGTCTACCTGTTAGTATTGGGAACGAATATCTGAGATGAGTCCATAACTTGTGGGCGATCTTTGAGCGAAGCCGAAGTGACCGTGAACATGTTCACCTACTAACTAGGATTAAATGGAGGCTATAAACTAGTCAGAATTATGATTTACAGTTTATGGTTAGGGTTAGGAATTAAGTTTAGGGTTTACATCGCGAACTGACATCAGCTAACATGCCAAAACGCTATTTGACCAAGTAGATGAACTTCACGCCAAAATCTATGATTTGTTATCTTAAATCTTATTGGTTCGTCCGTAAACTATAGTCTCACTTAACTCACATAATGAATCACAAAGAAGTAACAAACAGCATGGGTCAGGAAAAACTCCCAACAAAACAAGGACAACTACAACCATTAAGTTCGCAAAAAAGTTAATCATTTATGTGTATTTTTCCTGACCGGTACTATACTCCGACGACTCATCCATTTAGACATGACTGTTGTACCATTATAACCCGCTCATAAGTATAGGTTACGTACACTTTTTCTGTTGGTCACGTTCACCCTGTGGTGTTTTATGAGAGCTGACAGAGCCCAGACCGCTTTTGAAAACAGTTTGAGTCTACTAGAACCATGGAATAAGAGGGTAAACTAGCTGAAATACAAACACCAGATTACATCAATAACTACTCTTGCTGACGTTGTGTGCACTTTAGTTGTTAACACATTGCTCGCGTACCAATGACAAACGACAGTTATACACCGTGGGCACTCGTTAACAACAGCACGTCAGCCTAAAAAGGTCTCGGTAGAATGGCAAATGTAATCACTTGTTTCGCATAGCTTGATGTTGTCAAATGTGACGTGAAATAAAAGCAATTGGTGAACACATCTGAAAAAGGGCTTTATAGGCTGTTTTTGGCTTAAATATATTTCCTATTGGGCATTGTTCCTTTCCACCTACTTATTATTCGTGTGACGCGTTTCTAATGCCCTATTGTGCCGGAATTTATGTGCTTTAAATAATTTTTCGTATGATGTATTCATGTATAAAAGTTTATTTAGGTATGAGTTTCCAGAAAGTCGGGGGATTCGAAATTTTTGGCTGGTCGGTTGCCGGAAACGAGACCTGTGTTGCTGTACGTAAGAATGGTCAAGTATTCGGTTTTGATGTTGGATTTTCACCTAGACCACTCGTTTTTGCTGACCATATATTTATTAGGTAACTTAATAGTGAAGTTAACAATTTCTAGTCATGGACATGCAGATCATATTGGAGCTATTGCCCAGCATATGAAAAAGAGAGCCTTAAATGATCTAGGAACAGCGACGTATTTCATGCCAAAGCATCTGGTCCCACATGTGAAGACTATTTGCGATGCTTTCACTGACATGTCTGAAAAAGTTGACTCAGACTTTGTTGGTACTTTTGTTCCCGTTGAACCAGGAAATAAATATGAGGTTTGTTGTGCTTACATCATTTACATGTGATTCTGCACATTTTCAGTTATCGAATAATTGGCATGTTGTTGTTTTTTCAACTGATCACTCGATTACTAGTGTGGGTTATTTACTTTATTCTCGAGATCCTACTGGCAAAGAAGTTCCGCAAATAGCTTATTTAGGTATGTTGGAATATTATTGAACGACTGGTTCTATATGAATGTCGTTGTTTTGTTAGCAAACTAGTTCTTATTCAATTGTATCCACAATACTGCTGATAACAATGTGAGTAGCTCTTTTATGTGAAGCTTAAACTGGATGTTAAACACTTATTTTGGCAAACCACACTACACATCAGAATAGGTGGTGATCCAGTTTTCCCAGGTAGTTTAGATTCTCAGACTTTTGTTCGACCGTTTTTCTCCTTAAACTCTACGGTTAACAGTAATGGCTGATTATTTCCGCTACCCGTGTTAAATACTCTGTGAAAAATCATATTGGGATAGCTGTTACCTGTTTTCAACAGTGGTATTTCAACTTCAGTAAATAACAATGTACATATATGTAATTGTACAATTGTGTGTTCTATCTTATATTTCTTATCTCTCTGATTTGTTGATTTTTTCCATTTTTTCTCATTAAACGTGTTAACATGCTTTTTCTAAGTAAGGGAATTTAAACTTTCTATTCACACGTGATCGCTTTTAAGTCATTTTAGCTATTTTGATTTTATATGTTTAGTTCAAAGGTAAAAGAATCCCCATTATATATATATATATATATATATATATATATATATATATATATATATATATATATATATATGGGACAATTACTTCGGCATTATTCAAGGTCTATCTTGTTAAACATTGGCCTATTATCATATCTGTTATAAAAAAACTGGGAGTAGTTTACTGAAACTAATATATGGTAACAACTACTTTCTTTCAACGACCCTTTCTGATTGAATTAGCGAGAAAATGCATCGTGGTGGATTCCGCTTTGTCGGTCATCATCCATAGACATCTTGATCCTGGTTCGAAGGTGCTCCAGGCCATGTTACTACACTTCATATCGGTACACCAAAAGAGGTCACCAAGATAAAAGGCGGAGGAAATTTAATATCAATAATCACTTTGTTTGCGTAAAAATATCACTTTTGTTTTTATAAGAAACTGCATATCGTAACCCTAGATCAGCATCCTAAGTTTGTATGGAATGTTTAAAAGGATTTTTGAAGAATCAACATTCGATCTGTAGTTGGTTGGAATTTAAGTAAGATCTCCTAACAGACGACAATGTGGACCATTATTCTTCCGATGTCTTATTTCCCCATCAATACGAGTTTATAGGAATCTGCTCTTAGAGTGCTAGTTAATGCTAAAAATTCATAAAGAAAGTCACGAGATGCTGTTGCATTGTCAGATTCATGAAGGATAGATCCCATTTTCTCTCGATAAAATTAAATATATGACCACACAATTTACAGCATTCGTAAGTCGTAATTGTTGAAGCTTACTGTCTAACCTGATTCAGCGTTCTAAAATGAAGTCATCTGACATGCCACTTGTGAAGAGCTTTCAGGAGACCATAAGTTATATTTCGTAATCTGGAATCGTTAATACTGGTTGTATATAGAAAGGATGTTTTAGCTAAATAGGAATAGTTGATGAAAAGAACGAGGACATTGTTGATATAATTGAGTGCTGATGGAGGTTTGTGTGGGATTAACGATTACTGGTTGTTCATACCTCTAAACGATATTTATTCTGAAGGGGGCTAAAGCCAAACAGTATTAAAATCAATGTCCTTATCGACCGCGTTATCACTGTTGAGCACGAGACAATTTTTTAATATCAGTCAACTTTTAGTAAGTTATTTTTGTAGTAAAATAAAGTAGCTATATCCATTAATGCTAAGTAACAGCAAGTTGTAAAATGACGCGATTTTGACCATTTGTTAATTAATAAGTGGTAGTTGCGTCTGTATCATTGTACACTCCACTTTCCAACGAAATCACTACCCAAATATTTTGAAACCTTAAGGTATTTTGAACATTCGAAATAGTGACATTATTACTAAAACATACATCTGATTTACGTTACCAACCCATCAAATACTTTTTACTTATTTTTTGTTTGTCAAGTATTTAAAAAAAAGGTTTTAACTACAATATTGAATGTCTATTTATCTTTATGTAACTGTTCTTTTGTTTTGTTTACTGTTATAGGTGATTCTAGATTTACTGTTATTCGTGAAGCGAATTCACTCTGCCCAGATCTTTTATCATCTCGCTTATTGATAATGGAGGCAACATTTCTAGATAATCCAGATCGTAAGATTGAAAGCGCTAAAAGTCATGGTCACACGCATTTGGATGAAATTCGTCAGAATGCTTCTTTGTTAAAGGTAGTTGTTAGTTTTTTTCTGAACTAAGCGGTTAGCTTTTATTCCGAACTATTCAGTTGTTAGTTTGATCCTTGTTTGTTTACAAATATTCATGTATCAGAGTTGTAGTAAATTCGATTGCTACTGTGGACTTTTGCATTTATGTGGTTTTTTTAAGGAATAACATTTTTGTTGTAGCATTATTAAAGTGCAAATAGGTAATTTTCATAGCTACATAGACCTTATAAACACTTTTCCGATCTAAACCAAATTAATATTGTTAGTACCGGTGATGTGTTCTCCGAGATAGATAGTAGTGATGACCTTGAGTGCTGTTAGAAGTGTGAGAGCGGTTGTATTTTCCCTACCGCTCATACAGTTGGAGAATGATTTTTGTTGAGATGGTTGAGAAGGAAGCGTTTAGGGATGGCTTGTACGACTTGGGATTTTAGTCTTACCACTATCTTACCAGCCTGTATGTCATGGCAAAACCCAAAGGAGTCATTGTTCCAGTCAATATACAGCTTGGTCGTGTCATCACGAAATGGAAACCCGACCACCACATCAAGGTAGAAGAGAAGTCCTCAAATTCTTTGTGAATGTATTTTTATTATCGTTATTATTACTATTTTATTTAAGCACATAAACATTAGTACACGGAGGCACCAAATATATATGAGCCACACTTCGTCATTCGATTTGTGTGAGGACTGGAATACTACTCGGGTGCCCAAACCGAAGCAAGTGGTTTTCTTAGAACACTCCGCGAGCCTTTCACCTAGAGGTCTAATCCACAAGGCAGTGGAGCAACGTTAGAAGATGCAGTTTCACGGTAGCTGGTGACCAACAATATATTCGCACGTCATTTGTTCCCTCAGGATCCAGGAGCCCATATGCACAATTGATTTGGAATCAGAGTTTTCAAACTCCCCTAGGTGGACTTTCCGTTTCCACTAACTCAGTTAGAGCTCCGGATATTCGCTTTTCATCTTCTCAATTTCGTAAACAACACCCATGCTGAGAGAAGGCATTGAGTAGGGCTTCCCTGATAGTGGCTGTATACGCGTGGCCATGTGAGAGCATTTCGAGAGGGAGAGTGGACTCTCTCTACCCTTGGCCGTACCGAGGCATTTGGGGGCTTATTTCACACTGAAGTTATTATCACTTATTGGAGGGACTAAGTACAATCATCCGGGCCGAAAATAACCTGTTCGCAAAACGAGATCAGTCAGTCAGCTACAACGTAGGACCAGACATATGCATCAGTCCAAGTTGCCACACCCCATTAACACAACAAAATGAACACCAGATTTATAGAAGCAGTTACTTCAATGGTAGTAATATATAAAAAAAAGATTGTGTATCAACACATAATACGGAAAGAAAGAATTGGTTCGTAGAAATAAAAGTATAAGGCAATTTTAATCTCACGGTTTAAGGGAAGAAAAAGAGTGTGTACAACCACATCGTTGTGATTGATTCTGAGATATGTTATCTAGTCTCCAACAATTGGTTAAGATAGTCGCGTGGACCGCAATCAAGTAGTCTGCATCTACCAACATGACTCAGATCAGAAGTCAGTGACTTCAAGGACTGATACTAAATATTAATAAGAAAAGCTTTCAAGCAATTGGTACAGATTATGCTAATTATCATCAGTTTTCAGAAGAAATAGCATGAACTCCATTCCGGTAGTGCGTTGACATGAAGTGAGGTTCTACAACTTTTATCTGTACCCGTTGCGATTAAGTTAGTTTAGCTTAGAATATACGCTTCCCTGGATCCTGTTGATTCAAGATTATATCTATGAAAAGGGAAGAATATTAAGGAAATGAAGGAGTATGGAAAATGATGATTGTGTAAAGTTCCGCAAACTAATCTTTGGACATAATGGAAAATAGTTGATACACTACTTTCCTAGTTATGTTTTGTAACTAATATAGCTTTACTGTTCCCCAACCTAATTGTTTTGTCACATCAATAATCCGGTGTTTTAACCGGGTTGATGGAAACGGAGAGTCCACCTAGGGGAGTTTGAAAACTCCGATTCCAAATCAATTGTGCATATGGGCTCCTGGATCCTGAGGGAACAAATGACGTGCGAATATACTGTTGGTCACCAGCTACCGTGAAACTGCATCTTCTAACGTTGCTCCACTGCCTTGTGGATTAGACCTCTAGGTGAAAGGCTCGCGGAGTGTTCTAAGAAAACCACTTGCTTCGGTTTGGGCACCCGAGTAGTATTCCAGTCCTCACACAAATCGATGATAACTACTACTGGCCTCATTGTTATTGTGTGGTGCATATGTATTTAGTGTCTTCTTGTACCAATGTTTATGTGTTCAAATAAGTGGATAAATCAATAATCTACTTTAATGAAGTTGTAACCTTACATATATCACTTTGTATTCTCAGAATTTCATATTTTCTTACTGCAATGTTCTGTTTATAATCGATTGAAAAATCATTAATCACACTTAGAATTTTAAATTTATGACATATTCAACTCTCTCACTGTAGGATCCTCATGTACCAAGATCTAATGAATAGCCGAAAACAAATGGTAAAAGCAATACTTACATGGGAGTATTTAGCGGCCTTGATAACACCGATCGAGAAGTCAATCGGACGACATTAGCGACTATAGTAAGAGGCGATCTCAGAGAAGAATTAGTCAAGACTTTTAAAGCTGCTCATCAAAGTAGGAGTAAGCGCCTGTATTTTCACTTTTGTCAAAACGATCTCTGATGAAAGTCGCAAGGTGTTTTAAAGTCAAAATTCTTCGCAGCATGTTAATCATTATTAAAAGCATCATTAGTAAATGAGTAGAAAATTTGACAAGGATTAGGACAGACAATAGTACCTCTTAAGTTATTAGACTAGAGATATCCAATTTTTCATATAAGAAAAAAAGGCTTTAGGAAAAATGCTGCTTAGACGACAGAACACCTCGATAAATATCCCCCCCTTTGTCTTAATTATTCATCACAATAAGTTTATAATCTTTAAATGTAATATTTTAAAACGGGCAACTTCATGTGTATCTAGGTCGATAACTGATCGGGAAACTAATCATCCTGTGTAACTGGTTTTAACCTACCTGGTTTGTCAGTCTTGCCATGTGGTGATAATTACTTCCATAACCTAATATTTCATTGAATCGCTAAATATCGAGACATAACACTTGACATATTAACTGCAAAGAATCGTTATTTAACGAAATGACCACTTTAATAAGCAGCCTAAAATTACAACAGCAAAGTGATTGTCAGTTAGTGTTTGTGAAGATTGTTGAATTTCATTTAAATCATGAATCTATCTAAGTTAAATCACCACTGAAAACATGTAAACACTAAACGGTCGTTTCATTCTAGTATCGGACTTTTTAGCTATGTGCATCTGCGACCCCGCGCGCGGGAATCAAACCCAGGACCTACAGTTACATGCGTGAACGCTTAACCTCTAGACCACTGAGTCGGGATCTAAAAGTATAATTTGTACTAATTGATTCAATAATGTCATACATAACGGTGTGTTTTTAAATATGCAATAGAGGAATTTCTATTTCATTAACCCTTGGTTGATCGTTAATTTAGCTACATTAGTTTAGTGGTTAAATCATGTGGTTTTTAACAAGTAGGTTGAAGGTGCAAGATCCTCTTTACTCATGCTTCGATTTAGTAAGCTGAGTAATATTGTCAGCTGTAACGCACAACAACGATGTGGATCAAATTTGAGTTCCATTAGTATGTTGATGTTAGATGGTTATAAGTTGGTCTCTAGAACTATCCATGGATCTAAATTTCGTTTTAGTTAAGGCTCATTGACAAAACGTACTAACATGCTCCTTGAGAGAAGTGGTACTCCAATGCTAGGTTCAAACCCATATCTCCCAGTTACATAGTGTAGGAAATCACCACTGAGCCATTTACATCTCAACTGACTTGTAAGACTGAGATATTTACATTAATTAATTACTAAGTAGTAACTAATTTAATTGATATTGTTATTCTTATTATCAACTTACTAATTCGTTGTATTTTATCAAATAAATTTCCACTTTTCCTCGTTTTTTGTTGTTGAATATTTTCAGTCTGTTGATTATATCTATCTAATACACTTCTCAGATCGTTACAGTTATAATGATATCATCCGTCTTTGTCACAAAGATATGCCTAATTGGTTAGTCAATCGTATTATACCATCTGTAACTGCTAAACATTGTCTTGAAAGTAGATGATACTTATATTGATATTTCTTTTCTATAGATTTTTGTAAATTTTATGTAGTTTGTATAATTTACCAATAAAATAAAGAGAAAAGTTTTGATTGTTTTAAGTCTTTTTTTGTTTGTTCTGATTATTGAGCTAAATGTTTAGATGAATTCACATCATTATAAACGAATAATTTAGTTGGTGAATTATCTTCTCACAATAGAACGAAACTGTTGTCCAGTGCTTCCAGGTTTTCCATGATGATCTAGCTTCAATCGACTCATGGTGCCAACTATTGAAATTACTACAATCTTCACAAAACCTCTTCTGATACGCATTATATTCCTTTAGTTGGAAATTCTTGTTTTAAAACTTTCTACTATTTAATGTGTGGCGTCGCGTCCCATGACCCCCATTGTGAGATATGATAAGTAACCGTACACCTAAGGCTAGCGCCCATCCAACCAGGTCATCTGCTCAGCACCACACACAGCTGCAGGGTCATGTGCAGTACTTCTCCGCATTTATGACGTGGAGACTGGGTGGGAAACCCGCACTTGGCGGACAACACTCTCTGTCCAGTGCCCGGGGAGTTCTCACAGAGTCAGTGAGTGATTGTTTGTTTTTGACACACTCTTCAACGAACTCCGAAATAACCACCGGTCCGCGACTGTTTAATGGTTATTAACTTTAAGTAAGTAGATTTTTATCACAATGGGGAATTGTGGAGATTTTAGTAGTTTTAATGGTTGGATTTATAAGTCAATCTTAGCTAGACTACCATTAAAAACGGGTTCGAGTTCCACGTTCAGCTTATATTGACTTATGAATTCAACTATTAAGATGGGTTTTTGTTTAACTAATCAATACAGTTATCTTACTCTAATATTTTACGAATATTTAAATTAATATCAGGTAATAATAATAATAATTGTTCAATTTACAAGTTTATTGTGAAATGAATGAAATCTATTCCATTTAGTTATGAATTCCTTACGTTCTAGTGAAATGTTGTAATTCTAATAGTGTACAATCATGTTGTGAATGAGACTGTTTTCATTGATGAAATCAAATGTTCTTGGCGTTATATCTCAAATCCATTAAAGTTGAACATATGAATTATTTGATCTTAAATCAACGGTTTAAGTGTATTTATTTATTTATTTATTTTAACACATAGATATCGGTACAAGTAGGCACCAAATACATATGTGCCACACAAATCTCATTCGATATGTGTGAGGCTGTGATACTGCCCGGGTGCCCAAACCGAAACAGCTGTTTTCCTTAGGGGGCTACATCCGGAGCCTTCGACCTAAAGGTCTAATCCACAAGGCAGTGGAGCAAAGTAAGGAGATGCAGTTCTATGGTAGCCGGTCACCAACGATTGGTTCATACGCCATTTGTTCCCTCAGGATACTGGAACCCATGTGCACCATTGGTTTGGAATGAAGGTTTTCCAACTCCCCTATGTGGACTCTCCATGTCCACCAACCCGGTTAAAGCGCCAGACCTTCGCTTTTCGTCTTCTCAATTTCGTAAACAACACCCGTGCTGCTAGGTGGCAGTGAGTAGGACTTTTCTGACAGAGGCTATATACGCGTGGCCATGTGAGAGCATTCCGAGAGAGAGAGAGAGCGGACTTTCCCCACTCTCGGTCGTGCCGGGGCATTTGGGGGCTGTTTAAGTGTAACAATAGACTTGAAGATTCTAAGTTTGAATATATATATTAGTTTATCTAATTTATTCTAGAAAAATCTTTCAACCAAACTAACCATCAATCTTATTTGTATGTTTTGATAAATACTGAGTTGAAAATACAATAATTTAGTTTGTTGAACCTCATTATCTTATCACCTATTGTAGGGTTGTAAAATATTGCCACCTAGTGTGAAATATTTAATCAATAGTAGTTGACTACAAGTCATATTTACTGGCTATATTCATACGTGAAATCAAAACTGAAAACAAATGGGGGATTAGCTACTCATCAAATTTAGTTGATTTAAGTTAAAATTGCTAATAGATATGTAGATTTTTCAATAGTCAGTCTCAAAATGACGTGAATTATCTTACTTAACTATTGTGCAGGATATATAATTTAAAACCTGGAGTTCACATTTTCTTCGGAATTTATGGGTCATTCATGTATTATAATGACCAACCTAAAATATCTCAAACACTGCAACGTTAAATAATTGGGGCTTGTTGGACAAAATGTACTGAGAAAGGTGATCGAAATATAAATATCGACATTACATTGTCTCACATTGTAACATCTATAGAAAAGAACAACTAAAATAACTGAGAGCAACTAGATTCACATAGGTATGTTTTTCGATTTAAGCGTAGTAACCGAACACGTAGACTACTTTGCATACTATCTGTCGGAGATGCTGAAGTATGGATAAACTACATAACCGTTCTTTCTTTTGATTTACTACTGTGAACCGTAAAGTTTGTTGTTAAAACATCAGTAAATTGTACATATTTAACCAGAAAATGCCTTTGAATCCTTGCTGGGGCACTTGGTCATTTTTTCTGCATCGTCGACTACGTAGTGGATATAAATCAAAAGCGTTTGCATTTAATAGTACGTAGATCCTAATATCCACAAATTATCTAGTTTTATCCATTAATTGTCTTTATTCACTAGTCAGTTACAACCGAACCGTCTTCTAGAATCGACAGTTAAATTGATTGGTACGTAAAGAGGCACCATTAAATGAATTGATTTCTTAAAAGGAATTTATTGTAATTATTTGGTTGGATACACTGCCGTTGAAAAAAATAAGATAATGTAGAAAAATCATTGGAATGATAAATTTGAAGTTGATGTGTTGCAGTATTCCGTTCTTCAAGTCTTCTTTACTAGAAAGTAAAGTCAATATGTTACTTTTTTTCCCGATAAAAGCAGAGAAAAAATTAGTATTTGTCTTGGGGATAAACTGGAGGTAGGTTTGGGTAGAATAACATCCTCTTACCGTTTCTTTATGATTTTACTATTTAAGCGGATCGTGATTACAGATCTAGTTATACAGGTTATTTACTTGAAGAATGACCTTTAATGTAGAGTATGTGGATGATTTCGTTTTGTCTTACAATTACATACCTAAATCACTTGTAATCAGTTAACAATCAGCTCATGTAGACGTCGTATGCATTTTTCACTGTGAAAATTGTACTTACATTTATTCTTCTAGGTAAGTTCTTAGAGACAGTAGAAATGTTCGTGTATCTGGCCAGATTAATTAGCACTGGTGCGGGCTATTTTATTTATTTATTTAATTCACATAAAATGTTTTACAACTGGGTACCAAAAATAATATGCGTCGCACAAGAATATTTACGTGTGGGTTAGGATATTGCTTGGGCGCCCAAACCGAAGGAGGAAATTTTTTTAAGGAGCCACTTCCCTAGCCTTTGACTGACGGGGTAATCGAGCAACGTTAGGTGTCATCCTATGGTGACTAATGGCCAGAAATAGGTTTATTCATTATCCATCCTCTTAGGATCATGGGACCAATATTTACTTTTGGTTTGAAATCATGGTTTCTTAACTCTCCTAGACTATCCCTTTGTATCCATGATCCCGGTCTAGACACCGTGGGTTCTCTTTTCATCCTACCAATTCCATAAGGAGTAACCCCATCACGAGAAGGTATTGAGCAACACTTCCTTGCCAGGAGTTATAAACGCGTGGACCGATGGGAGGATTTCTGGCGAGAGAGAACTCCTTATACCCTCTGTTGTATTAAGAGATCTGGGGATTGGAGACCTCTCGGAGACTGATATCATCGATAAAATCAGGCTTCGTATTGCGTAATTCATAGGAGCTAAGATCATTTAGAGGCATCCTTTGTAAACTAATCATCTAGCCACATTCAAATTGTCTATTGTATTCCGTGCATCTCTTAAAAATTCAAGGTCTTCATAATCCCGTCGACCACGAGAAGAAAGAGAAAGGGGGAGAGTAAGCAGCCTTGTTTAACTCCGGTTGTCATTTGAAATGCGTCTTTCAGCTGTCCACTATGCACGAATTTGCAGTGTAGTTTTTCGTACGAATTCCGTATGATGTTGACGATCTTCTAAAGTGCACCGATTTACCATGTACCCTGCACCTAACTTCAGGTTCACTTACTCGATCGTTCCACTATACGCTAGGAAAATGTTAAAGACACCCGTACATAGCCACGTTTCACAGCTATGAAGTATTACGGAACAGACTGTTGAGCATTATACTTGCCATTATATTGTCTGACAGACATTTGGTCTACACCACAAGTGATGCAAGTTGTCTAAGGCCAAACAAGATTTTCGAATCCATTACGATTCCATTCATTCCAAACAAGGGAAGTGTTCCTTTCCATGTTTGTTTCATTTCATGTTGTTAAAGTTAATAAAATAATTGTAAAAAGAGTAACATTAAATTACATACGGATTTCTGTTTCTGATTTTCTCCTTTGTACTTCATTTTTCGACTGATTATTTGGTGTCAATGTAGGTTTGTGTAATGTTCTTTTCTGTAAATCTTCAGCGTACTAATAATAATAATAATGATAAGAATATTTGATCAAATGAAATTAACCTATTTAGTGTGGATAACAGACAGTATGATGTTATTTGATGTTATAAATGATTAATATTTATTAAAACACAACAAAAAACAAGCCATAGTTTCACTTGGTATTGTTTGGCTTGTATCTTCCCATTGATGTTTAAGACTACAATTGATCAGTCTGTTATTGGCATACGTGCATCCTGTGAGGATTGGCTCGATATATATATTTTTTTACATAAAAGAATAGGTGGTTTATAGTCACTAGTAAATTCAGTTAAAGTAGTTTGCGGTTTTAGTAATAATAATATGTCATTTACCAAGTGTACAGACTCGTGCATTTGGTTTCGAGGCATACAGCTTGTGATATACTATCTGATTGTCCAAACGGAAGTAGGTAAGGGCATGGTTCGAACTTGAGACTTGATGGCTAAAATCGAAAGTTCTTATCAATGAACCACCGTTCGTTTACGCTCAGCGTTTTGTCAAGTAAACATATGAATGACAAACTTAGTAATTCCATATCATAAATCTGATTTTCTA